CCATGGCGGGGGGCGAAGGGGAGCGGGGCGGTGATGTTCATGGCCAGGGGGTGGGGCCTGGAGCCGCTGTCATGCTGCACGTCACTGCCCCGCCCCCTTCGCCTTCCGCCGTGGCGCTCAGCTGAGTTCTGCACCACTCAGCCGGGCTGCCACAGGGGAGACCAAACGACTACTTGTTCTGCTTGCTCCCCCGTGATAGCCCGGCTGAGTGGCGCAGAACTCAGCTGAGCGCCACGGCGAGAGGTGAAGGGGGGCGGGGCAGTGACATGTGGTGTGACAGCAGCTCCAGGCCTTGCCCCCAGCCGTGAACATCACCACCTTGCCCCCCTTGCCGAGTTCCACGACGGGAGGCGAAGGGTGGCGGGGCGGTGAGGTACAAGCCCAAGGGGCGGGGCCTGGACGAGCGTGCATCCCTGACGGAGACAGAGGACAGCGGAGGAAGAGTGAGAGGCAGGAGGGGGAGAAGAGAAAGAGAGAGACAGAGAGAGGCAGGAGGCGGAGGAGAGCTGAGAGAGAGAGGAGGAGGCAGTAGGAGGAGGAGCGAGAGAGAGAGAGAGAGACGGAGCGAGAGACTGGAGGCTCAGGAGAGACCGACGTGGAGGAGAGACCTGAAAATCCCGTTTTATGACGAGCTAATTAGCTAGTCTTATTTAGAAAATTCCAGACATTTATATTTTCCTCAATTTGTTTCCCAAACAGAAAGCTCAAATACTGGACTGTCCAGTTCAAAACCAGACACCTGGCAACCCTATTTATGAATCCATTTCAAACTCCCTTGTTTCAAGGGAAAGAATTTCAGCACATCACTGCATGTTTTGCTTGGCAGTAAGAAATTTCCTACACAGCCATTCCCTTATTTTAAAATAATTTTGAAATAACCGACGGCTTATTCTGAAATCTGTAGTCCTCGTTCTATGAGGAATAACGCCTATTCGGAAATAGCTATTTCAAAATACGACGTATGTAGATGCTCCACTGCCGCTAATTTGAAATAGCCCCTCACCAGAGTCATTTTAAGTTGTTTCTCCCCACTGCCTCCTGGTGCTCTAAATCGAGATAGTACATCTACATTAGGGAAGCCTGCCTTGGACTAATTTTGAGGCTTCCCTGCAGTGTAGATGTGCTATTTTGGAATAACTAATAAGCTTATTTCGAAATAAGTGTACAGGGTAGACGTAACCCTAATGAGCAGCTGCTTACACCAACAGGGTAATGTACAGAATTATGCGATCAACTGCATTTAATTTGTCTTTGCACATAATCCCCAGCTCCCTGCCCAAACACGGCTACATATCCATTACTGGTTTTACTTCTGATATTCTTACACCTTCCAGCAGCTACCAAACAGTGGCCATTTCTTAATTTAAAAGACAATCACAAAACCGTTTGCTTCATTCTGCCTTCAGTGTGGAATTTCATTCACAAATCATTGCTCTAAAATCCAGGACTCTCCGTGTTAATTCACTGAAGTTTTAAGGTTCAGCATTTTGTGATTCATCAGTGCTAGAAATAGAAGCCTTCTCCTTTTGAGGTTCTGGAAATGCTCCTGATCCAAAGGGACTAAGCACTTACATCTTAGCTGGCTGCAAGCTCCCAAGTCTCACAATTCTAATGCACTTAAGAAAAAAGCTGTTATAAACCTCTAAAAATGGTTAGCTCGGCTCTTTCTCCCTGGAGTGCTGTATATTAGGACTCAAGTGCTGAGGCAACCTGGCTTCACAGGTGGAGACAGGAAAAAACAATTAAAATAAGCTCTAAATATAGCTCAAATCATTGAACGCGTGTACAACCAGACTGCATAATGGTGATTTGGGGAACGTGGAATTTGTAAGTAGGAGCATCCCAAACTCATGTCAGTGAAGCCTTCGCGATGATTTGCTCCACTCTCTCTCCTGCATTTTTCATTACTGAGGCGTTACAAAGCAAGTGGTTCATAGCAAATGTTGCAGGGGAGACATGCATTGGTAGCGACAGCTCTCTGGATCACAAATCTGGTTGGCAAGCTGGGGAACCTCTAATTTGGAGGCTTTGGCAAGTCACTGAAAAGATGGGAGACAAGTCTCCAAATGGATCTACCTTTTCGTAGTACTTGATTTCGTACTCAGTGTTTCTGGCACTTGGGAAGCCCGGCTCCTGCCATGACAAGGAAATGCTCTTCTGTTCAATTTTATCGGTGCGGATGTCTGTGACACGAGCTGGCGCTGAAAAAGCAGAAAGAAGACACAAGCAGATCACTAAGACCATCGCCCCAGGAGGCTGGGCTGCCTGCCATTCACCCCAAAAACCAGCACCCCATTACAGAGCCTGAGCACACAGTCGTGCCAGGCGCACACAAGCCATGGTGTCTTCCATGCGCAGAGCTGTGGCAGGATCGGGTCCCGGAGGAACAGTTTTATCAGCCTGGTGACGGTGGCAAAATGCAAATGTGCCCCAGTTACAGAACACTCATGGATGCCTTTCAGAAATACCTTCGCTATCAGTATCACACAGGGCAGTCAGCTTTTGGGCAGACACAGGGTTTCTAGGACAAACCCTTTGTATCGCAGCCAGTTCTGGGCCTCCCACTACAGAAAGGATGTGGACACATTGGAGCGGGTCCAGCGGAGGGCAACCAAAATGATTAGGGGGCTGGAGCACATGACCTACGAGGAGAGGCTGAGGGATTTGGGCTTATTTAGTCTGCAAAAGAGAAGAGTGAGGGGGGATTTGATAGCAGCCTTCAACTACCCGAAGGGAGGTTCCAAAGAGGATGGAGAGAGGCTGTTCTCAGTAATGATGGACCGCAGAACAAGGAGCAATGTTGTCAAGTTACAGCGGGGGAGGTCTAGGTTGGATATTAGGAAAAACTATTTCCCTAGGAGGGTGGTGAAGCACTGGGATGGGTTCCCTAGGGAGGTGGTGGAATCTCCATCCCTAGAGGTTTTTAAGTCTTGGCTTGACAAAGCCTTGGCTGGGCTGGTTTAGCTGTGGGTAGTCCTGCTTTGGGCAGGGGGGTGGACTCAAAGACCTCCTGAGGTCTCTTCCAGTCGTAGGGCTCTATGAATCTACAATAGGTTTCACTCCACATTAGTCAGCATCTGCACAACACACACGCTGGGCACAGAACCGCGGTGGTTTTCTCTCTCTGCTCAGACGAGGGGCTAGAAGGGCAGAAAAAGAATCCGACTCTTCTGCCCTAAAACCAGGGTGTTGAGTGCAGCAAGAGCAGGAAGGCAAGAAGTGGCCCAAGGGCCAGATGCAGTTTGCCAGGGTTAGCCCCAGAGGGCAGCCTGCACTTTGTTTACCTGGGCGTCTGCAGGCACAGATGCTCGCAGGTCTTCTTCCTGGCTAACGGGAGCTGCAGGAAGTGGTGTCCTGATCCATGCTGCTTCCTGCACCTCCCATGGGCCAGGAACAGCCATCCTCAGTGGCCAATGGGAGCTGCGAGCAGCCATACCTGCAGATGCTGAGTTAAATAAAGCACCGGCAGCCTGCCAGGGACTAGCCCTGGTGAACCACACTCATAGGCTGCTACTTGCCCATCCCTGAGTAAGGGATGATGAAATAGGCAAAAATACATTGGAGGGTGGAAGGGGGGACCTGGGGTTGAATTTATAACCCCTTAATTGTTCCTTATTAATTTCATTGCTCTGTTTCATTTGGGTTAAAAGTTCCGAGATAGTCAGGGGCACCTGGCAAGTGGCGGAACGGTGAGCCTAAGGCAAGTCCAAAGGGTACCATTCCAATTGTTTAAATAGCTTTGTTGCAGCCAGAAATCTTTTGCATTAAAACAGAAGGGAACTGCTTCAACTTTTAGGCACCTGGTTTTCAACATGAAGACTACAATGCTCTGGGATCCTCTTTGCTGCCGTGTTTAATCGCTTTGTAGCTTAACCCAACGGGTCCGGTCAGTTAGTCCAGGCAATGCAAACAGCCTGTTTGCTTAAAAAAGGACCTTGACAAATGTGAAGCTCAAGAACCCAGAGCCAGATTTCCCCCAATAGCACTAAGGAGGTCTCCAGCCAGCCGGTTTAGCTCTCTGGACTTGCACGAACTTCCATACTGGGACTGGGTCTCCTCCCAGCTCTGAGTCTTAGATCCAGCATTACCTTCCCACTGTTGCTGTCACCAGGAATTCTGCAAGCGTATGGTAAGCCGGGTGTCGGAACAGCATTCGGAGTGCGGAGCTAGGAGGAGAATTTGGCCGGAGCCCATTGGGTTTAGTAAGCACCATTTTTTGCCAGCAGATAAATGTACTGGGTTGTTTAGTCATCTATAGTAGGGAGACCGAGTGGGGATTGGGTTAACAACACATACTCTTGCTACAGTCGGATCGTGTTCTACGTCTGTATGGTCACAGGTGAAAATAACCCTCCTCTTTCTAGAGGACACTGGACTATCAGAAAACCACTCCACAAATGGCATTTTTCAGCACTGGAATGACACAGGGAACAGGGCAGTGCATCCAGGAACAAGGTGTATCCAGAGTCACGAGCCCATATTTGCATATTCAAAAAAGATACCAAAAGCCCCTTTCTACAAACTCCTGAAAGTACTTTGTTTTGCTCAATCAGCGACGGGCAACCTAGGCTAGTGAGTGGGCCGCATGCGTGGCTCATCATCTCAGTGGGCTGCAAGATTGTTGTCATCAAGACGGTCTCCTGGGACAGGGCAGTTTTACTGATGGTGCTTGCGTAGCTAGAATTCATAGGGTGGGCCGACTGAGCTGTAGCAACAGGTGGATTGGATGCAGAGGGAGCACACGGCTCTCCCAAGGTTGGGTGCAATCAGTGCACACCTCCCTTCACAGGCCCTGGCTTTACACTTTAGTGATATCAGTAGGAAAAAACCGACGCAGATGGAAACAAGCGGAATCCGGCAACCCTGCGCGTGCGCAACAGTACACACAATGTCTCACGGGTCGCGCATAGAACCCCGATGGTGCTGCAGGTTGCCCTCCACTGCCTTAAATCCCTGTTCTGCAGTAGCCCCACCTACTTTGTGAGTTATTTTAGACCTTTTCCCTTTAAAATCTGGCCCACAAAACACAGACTGTAATTTAACTCGTCGTTCTGTTTCCTGGATGGGACTGTCCTGGCCAGAAGCTGGTTGTTAGAGATGGGATCTGAGCCCAAATCAGCAAGGCTGGATCTGCTGGGAGACCCAGGGCTCTTTTCCAAAAGGGTAGGCCTTGCAATATCCCATGGACTGTATGGAGCATGGCTGCTACTGGATTTCCTGGAACCATCTGTGCTAGCAGTATGTCCTGGGGAGATGCACCCTATCCTGTGGGGTGACAGACAGGGCTATGTTACTGCCAGGGGGGCGCAGGCAAGAGCAGGTGCCTTGCCATTTACCAAGATCAGCAACGACCTGGCTTTTGAGATTCATGAAGAATGCTCCAGTCTTTTGGGAAACAAGCATAAAACTCACCAATGCCCGGACCATCAGCAGCTACAGGTTACTGCCAACCTTAGAGCAAACTCTCTGGCAAGCTGCCAGCTACATCCGTCCGCATCTCTTCCCTGCAAGCCTTTTGCTGAGATACGGAGGGATGCTTTGAGAATGTAGAGTAGATGAAGGAGACCAGAGTTCAGCTGTTTACTGCCCTATTAGCCTCCTGTTGTACTGTTAATGGGCAGTAACTGGCCCCCTGGGCAGACAGTTGGAATGCTTCAGACTCCATGAGAAGTAGAACTAAATACCCAGGCTCCTGTTAGTCAGATTTTGCTAGCGGACGAAATCTGAGCTGAATCCGAGGTCAGGCCCCTCCAGTCTGTCACATAATGAAGAGAAATCAAACCTCTGCCTGGACATAGCTCGGCATAGTGTGGCCCGGCATTCACTGCACGTTGGACACAGGGCGAGGGTTTAACACGCAGACAGCTTCTCTCCAGACATCACCCCGGAGCACAGAACTACTCCTCCAGTGAGGTGAAAGACAGGCTTGGTGTGTAGCCAGATGGTCCCATGTGACAATCAGACTTAGGCTGTGTCTACACTGGGAAGGTTTGGGGACAAAAGTGCTATCGACGTGCAAAAGTGAAAACCAGCCAAACCAGTTTTTCTGCCTCCCACTGTTGACATTTCATGGCCACATTGCTAGCTCCCTGAGACAGACAGAGCAAAGCATTGTGGGTAAGCATCCCACAGTGCAGTGTGGTGGGAAGCCAGAGCTGATCCCTGTGCTTCTTGGGATTCCTTGGCAGCTGAGCTCTGTGAGCTCTCCGTGCTGAGGAATGTTAAAGCAGCACATCAGTCTCTTCAGCCCACCCCCTGAAGCAGTCTGCCTGCTGCTGTGTTCCTAATGCAGGGCAGAGCATTGCAATGATTTGTTCTTTGTTTGCTCCCCAAACAGAGCAGCTCACTCAGCTGTCAGACACTTCCTGGAGCTTTGAAAGGGGAAGAGCACATGCCTGCAGGGCAGCAGAAATCACAGAACACTGAGCAGAGCCAACAGGGCAGGCATTGCGGGATACTGGTGGAAGCCAGTTCTCTCCACAAAACAAACTAACAGAGCCCACACAGGCTCTTTGTTGACCATAAAGGGAGGGGAAAAGACAACAAATCTCTTGCAGGGCTGCAAGTTTTTTGTCACCAAAACTGGATGGTTTCCCCCCGAGAATAGTTGCATTGTAGGGCTCCCTCTGTTTTGTCAACAAAAGGCAATTTTTGGTGACAAAAATGTGCCAGTGTAGAAAAGGCCTAAGTGAAAATAAAGATAATCTCATGTAAATTGTGGCCACTTGATTATTGCACAGGTTCAGAGGAAAGCCAAGACCCTGTACACTGGTCGGCTGTCGCTCCAAAGAGCAGAGTATTGAATTCACTTTAAAAAAGGAGCCAGCAACAGGAGTGCCAATCAGTCAGGTAAGCCTATATCAGGCTCTAGCAGAAACCATTGGCAGGGCAAAAAAGAGACTTTCCTTTCACCAGGGTCAGTGCGCGGTTCAACACCCTTTCCGAGGAGGAGAGAGAGGCAGGCCTCCAGTGCTAGCTAGAACTGTCTCAGCCCGTGGGAACACAGAGCCAGTTGGAATTCATCTGCTTGGGTGTGCCTAATTCAGGTTTAAAAGGAACAAAACCAAGCAGGGAATAAAAACTGTGGGTTTGTTTCAAACTCAGGCTCCGTCTAGACTACATGGCTCTGTCGATGGAGCCATGTAAAATAGTTTATTCGTCATAGTCAAAGAAGCGGGGATTTAAATAATCCCCGCTTCAT